CTTCTGAGGTAAAGCGGCCCATATTTACGCTACACAAGAAAACATATTAAAGCTTTGGACAGGACAAAGACGTTCAGTTACCTGGAATGAAATTCTGGGATAAACTACCTATGTTTCGTGGTTTTAGCTACTCCGTTGGGCGCCGATTTAGCACTCTTAAAATAGGTATTAAATGAAGTGGTGCATATGTGAATATGTAGTTATTTGCAACCTGTTGCAATATATCTGAAACATTAGTGTCAGCAGATGAATATGAATTGAATGAAGCAATGGGCTGAATTTTACGAAAATAAAAAATTTAATGCTCGAAGAGATTCTCAGTACATTTTATTGTTTCAATTTTCTTATATTTCTTGATGTAATTTCTTGATTTAAATTCTTTCTTGTATTTCTTGATATAACCCGAATTTGCAATGTGACAAGAGTTAAATTTTTTTATAGTTAAAAGTTACATTAAAAAGTTATAAAGGTTAAAAAAACTATTTATCATTATTCTAAAGTTACATTTCTTTCATTTGTGAAATTTAATTTTGATTAAAAGGCCTTTATACTTCCCATTAACTTGTAGAGTTTCCCCTTGGTTCAATTAACCAATTATTCAGATTTTTGTTATCTTTTCTAAACTCCTCAATCCTTCTCGCATTACCTCGCCATAATGCAAGTTTAAAGTTAAGTGAAGTGAGTATTTAAACGAGTAAATCTTGGGGCTTATTCAGAGCGTGTTTTCGCTAGCTAGAGCAGGTTACGAGTCTGTCCTTGCTGTTACGCGGAGTTGCTGACATGCCTTTTTGGTCATTTAAATAATTACCAGGCCTGGTAGGTTATCGAGTCAACCTAGTTAACCTTAACTTAAATGCTAGTCCAGCACTAGTCTTTAACCGTGAATTTTCAGTGTAACGATTCCTAAGTTCCACCTCAAGTTGTTGGTGTTATCGTAAGCAAGAAGTACGTGCCTTTCTGTTCAGAGTTGGATAATAATAAAGGGTTATTTTTACCCTTCTTCTGAGTTAGTTTTCCTTACGCCTGTGCAAGAAGTCGCCAGGTTCCTTAATAGGATCTAGAAGAGCTTATGTAGCCAAAGAGAACAGGATCCTACAAACTCAACCATAGTCTTTTCTTCTAAAAAATTTAAGATTTAGTTTATTCGTTTCATTGTTACGTCTGTAAGAATGGCTAAATCATAAAATGAAATATGATCACTACGTTCTTAAAAAATTTCGTTTCTGGATCCTAAAAAGTGCTTTTTATCTGTCGAACAAGCTCTAAAAATCGTTGCAGGAATTTTCCATTATTTTTCCATCTAATTTCAAAATGTAACTTAATATTCCAGACTCAGCATCAAGTTTACCAATCAGTGTTTCGAACAATCTATTTCGCAGTGGTCTGGCACGAATAGAATTTCCAATTTTTTAACTGTTTCCATCGCGTCTTCACAATGTAAAATTTCTGTAGATAATGCCGGCTGATGATGATGCAATAGAAGTTAAAAAAGTGTGGAAAGTCACCATCATTCTTACATAAACTGATGAAACTAACAACAGAATCAATCATGGCAGGTGCGCTATCTGTTATTATTGACATACGTTTTTGAAGCGGATAATTTATTTCAGATATGCGATTTTTAATAACTTGGTATATGTCCACTTCGCGTGTTCCTCCACACCTCCATCTTCAGGGAACTTTGGTGACCTGTGCCTTTGTGGGGTAACTAGAACTCGACATTTCCTTTCCCCTCTCGGCACTTGTCTTCTCAAGACTGAGAAGAGACCAGACGTGCAATGCGAGCCAAATCTAATGATCGCGCGAGTAACACGGATTAGGCAACCCTGAGTTAAGCCATTTCATTTCCTGAAAAGAAAGTTTGGAAATCTTCAGGGTGAAAGAACCTAAAATCTTTTAGTTCTATTAGATAAAAATTTTCGAATTTTAGAACGTCTGCAAGTTATAAATATTTGAAACCTGTACATATGTATCTGATTGTAATGAAAGTTTTCCGTTCAAAAAACATTCTTATTAAAGTTTAAAAAACATGAAAGTACCTTTAGTGCGGGTAGTAATCATCACCCAAATATAGAATTTTCTGCCAATGCTTTGTTAGTTTTTCAAAGCCTTCGGCCCAGAAACTTGGTGTCAGCGAGTCCAAAAATAGATCAACCTGATTTCAGACTTCCTGTGCAGAATGGAAGATAGCACCAGCAAGATGTAGCTGCAGGTGGTAAAAAAGGTAATAGTCTGAAGAGCGATGTCTGGGCTATATGGTATGTGTGGCAAAAGATCCCATTCGAGTGTGCACAGAGTCTAGCCAGTAAATGCAGACACATATGGTCTTGCATTACCTTAATGGTACATTTCTTTTTTGCGCTGGAACTCAGTTTGTCTTTTTCCTTGATAGCAGCGTCAACACGGACTGACATCTCGCTGTACACCTTACTCTCGAGGGTTTTACCTTTTCCAGATACTCTTTACGGATAATACAACGGCAATCTCACCAGATACAAAGCATGATCTTTTTGTTAGTTAAATTGCGCTTTGTGACGCTGCCAACGGGCTCACCGGGCGCAGAACGACCCCCTTTCCGGCCTGTGTTGTTAAGGTAAATCCATTTTTCATCACCACTGATGATCCGGTCCAGAATTTTATCTTTGTGTTGATATTCGAGCATATTAGTGCAGGCTCCGAACACGTTTGTCCTTGCTTGAGTCAGCTTATGCGGCACCCAGCGATTGAACTTGTACCTCAAGTTTATGCGATGCATAGCGCGACTAATGGACATGGCACTAACTCCTTAGGAAGCTCTGGTCTAACTCCTTAGCAAGCTCTCAAGTAGTTGCATACTGATCTTCTTCCACTAGTTCTCGCCGGCAGGCCTCACCAACATCAGTAGGCCGGCCATCAACTCTGCTTCTTGAATGTCATAGTTCTTGTTTTTGAACTTCGGTACCAAACTTTCACAGTGCCGTATGATACAACATTAGTTCTTAAAACTATACACATGATTTGGTGATATTCTGTAGCTGACGTTTTGCAACACAACTGGAAGTAAATGATGATTCTAATCCGGTAGCGTGATAGTGCCATTTCAGACACCTTGTATTTAATGGTAACGATATGTTTTTACAAATTTCACATCAGTGTTCTAAAGCAAGTTTCTTTCTTTCAAATACCAAAAATCTTTTGACAAACTATGATTAAACACGCCAACGAAAACTGTTTGCGCCGTCGATATTTGCGGTGGCGGGAAACTTTCGTTAAACCCGATATTTAGGTTTCTGTGATACAGAAAGTATATTACAGAAGTTGACATTCGAAAAGTTTCTCACGTAGCTGTCATCAGTAGCATCTGTGAATGGTCCCCAAATTTTAGCTGTGAATGGTCCCAAAAAATACTGTAGAGACATTAGGTTATTTCGAGGTCGGAAAGATGAAAAATATGCAACACCTTCACTGGGAATCGAACCGCGGACCTCTCAATTACGCGCTGAGCGTGCAGACCACTACACCACGAAGGCTCGCTAAGAAGGCGGGAGAAATACCTTATAATTTGATGCCTTATAACCATAGAATTTGATGGTATGAGAATAGATATTTTGCCTATTTGACTAATTCATTTATAAAAAAGCGCTTTTAAATGTGCTTTTTTTCCCACATTTTTTACTACAGCACCAGTAAAAATTTGATTTTTTTTTTTTTTACTTTAGAAGTATGACATGGCTATAATTACCTAAGCCTGAAAACTTATCTTTTTTTTAATGCATTTCTTAAATTGAAGTAATGGATCTGTAAGTAGTTGTTCAAAGCAATATTTAATTATGAAAAAACTTTTGAAATATCAAGCATAGCATGAGGCATAATCCTTTAAGTATCTACGGCTGACTGCTTGTATTTTTTAGCTAAGTTTTCTTTTAGAAGCTTCGTAATGAAAAGAAACTTAAATAGCTTCATGCACGAAGAAATTTCCAACAATTTCAGTCTAGCTTAAAATAAAATAAATTTTGCTGTGAGGTATCTATAAGATATTTTTCTTTAGATGTGCAAGGTTTATGGGCTTCTTTACAAAAAAAAAAAAAATACTCATGAAGAAATTTCTTGTTATTACTGTCTTCTTATTAGTATATTTTTGTCAACCTGTGCCAGTTTCACTGTCCCATATAATATTTAAACGTTTAAAACTAAAACTCATTGGTGTAACAGCCCTAATGGGCCAATGCCTGCAGCGCCCCGAAATCTGCTTTCTTGACCGTGGGCCCCGGAGTGCGTAAGCATAAGCCCTGAACAAGTGGTCAGCTTGTCGCAGCACTCACCCCCAGTGTTTAGTCCTCAAGTGAACTTGGTACTCATTTTATGCAACTTGGTACTTTAAGACGGAAATCAAGGGATGAAAGGCTGATTATTTAACGTTTAGTTATGACTAAAACTAATTAAATTGTCAAATGGGTAGCTTCAGATTTTTATAGTAGATAGCAGCATCTCAAATTTCACTTCTAATTATGACTAGTAACTGCTGATTAAATATTTAAATACATAACTTTAAATTTTACAGGCGATATTAACTTTCGAAATTTTACATTTAAGCCAACACTCGAAGTCGCTGGGGGCCGAACGGTAAAATCGCTGAACACTTCTACTATGTACTCATATGAGTTCGCTTCCAGGCGAACGTGCTAGCTACATGAGCGCTTTCGTAGTTTTTCTCTATATGTAACGTGTATAAGAGTCAGTTTCCCTTGGAAAGTCCTCCACGAAGGCATCCCTTCCCTTAGGCAGATAGCCCTCGCGTGATTTTCCATAACTGAAGAAGTCAACTAATGAAATCCCAGTTTCTAGATGATTAGTTCTCGTGGAATTTTTGGTATATGCGATGACTGTAGTGTTTGCATGCTGCTATATGCATCTGTAAAAAGCAACTTGTAACCTAAGTAATAACATGAGTAATTTTTCACATTAATTTTGAATTGCAATATAAATATGCAATAAAGACGGAATTATTTTTAATTTCACAGGTCAGAAAAGATGCTTATTTGGTTAGGATTGACTTGTCTTCTATTATCTATATGTTATGGTCGCGTTTTGGAATCTTCTTCTAACGCACAGGTAAGCAGATTTCTAATTTTCTTTCTCGGACAAGTATGTATACATGTATGTATGTATGTATGTACGTATGTATGAAGAAGGGAAAACATCGAATGGTTAAATTAGTTTTTTTCTCCTCCTCACACCCACAATCTTAAGCTAATTCTTTTGTTTAGTACCTGTATTAGAAGACAGTCTTTGTCTCTCTTTATTTCAGTGTAACCTGATACCTTAAATCTAACTACCTTAAATCTACTGAATTCTAAAAGAATGTATTTCATGTTTCAGCATCTATTATGAATCAATGCCTTCGAGGCTTAAAGAAAAAAAATCTAGAGTTAATTTTTAAAGAATTAATAACACATTTTTTTACACCTAAATGCGTTCCCTATTTTTAATAGGGAATAAATTTGCTTTTAACAAATTTTTCAGTAACTTTAGTTTTTACTTACTTTATTAATCTTAATTACTCTTCAGATATTTCAAGCCTACTTTGATTTAACGTAAGTAAGTAAAAACAGTGATGAAAGTTTTGTCCAACTTAGAGCTGGTTTGAACAGATAGAACATACACTAAATCAGTGATTCTCAACCGGTGGTAAGCAAGAGAAAAATAGGTGGTACGCAAAGAAACAAAATGTTTTTAACTATTAAATTCAAAAATTAAATACCCCAACATCCTGTTAATTTTTTTCTCTAACACTCGTAAATTTATCTGATCTGAGCTTTGTTCAAGGTCAATAAAATGACGAATAAAATGACGTCTTCTATATACATGACAAACATTTATTTGAACTACGAAGACGTTGAACAGCAGAGTAGAAACATGATTACACAGCGCTTTGCACTTCTCTCTTACATGCAATACTCAACATTGACTTTGGCTAACTGCGTATTAACTAAGTATAAGTATTACGCAGCAGAGAACTTGCTGATCATGCGCATGCGCTAGGGAAATCGACGGCGGTTGCCAACATACCCCCTTTCGACGTTGATTCTCCTATTGCTGAAAAGTAAAACAAAATACATATTGAACAGTATTCAATCCTACAATTGTACAACAGTTTTGATGTTTAACAGGAGTCAGGGGTTTGGTTAACACATCAGCTCCCATTTCACTGGTAGGTATGTACTTCACATCTAATTCACCGCGTTCATATACTTCACGCACAAAATGATGGCGAATGTCTATGTGCTTTGTACGGGAGTGAAACACAGAGTTCTTTGTAATTTTCTGAGCTCCTTGATTGTCGCAGTATATTGTTGTTGGGTTTTCTATGTTGTAACCCAGCTCCTTCAGGAAACGACGTAGGTAGACGGTTTCTTTGGCGGCCTCAGACAAAGCCATATATTCCGCCTCCGTTGAAGATAGAGCTACACTGCGTTGTTTTCGTGATTCCCAGGTTATAGCTGCTGAACCACTTAATATATATACAAAACCGGTGTAAGGATTTTCTATCATCGACATTTGATGCCCAATCTGCATCCACAAAGGCGATGAGTGGTTTTCCTGTTTTCGTATAAATTAGTCCTTGATCTTGGGTTCCCTTTAGATATCGAAGTATTCTTTTCGCAGCATGCCAATGTTCTTTTCCCGGATTGTTGTTAAATTGACTTAAGAAATTCACGGCGTATGTGATATCTGGCCTAGTAGCTACTGAAAGGTACATTAGTGATCCGATCAGATTTCTAAATGGAACATTTTTCATGTCAGCGATTTCGTTTTCGTTTTTAGGACTCATCTCTTTTGATAATTTTTTGCTGTTATCTATAGGTGAAGACACGGATTTAGCATTTTGCATATTATACCGATTTAAAAAATATCATCAACGTATTTCTTTTGAGAAATTTTAATTGAATTCTCATTTTGGTAAAATTCTATTCCTAAGCAATAATGTAATTTTCCCAAGTCTTTCATTTTGAAAGCAGAAGCTAAACTATCGCGAATTGTTTCATACGTTTGCTTAGAATCGGTAAAAACGATAAGATCGTCTACATAAACGATTATAATAGTTTCACTGTTAGGCGTCTTTTTAATATAAACACAATTATCTGAATTAAGAGATTTAAATTTCATAGATTTCAATTTTTCATCCAACTTTTTGTACCACTGACGTCCTGACTGTTTAAGACCGTATAATGATCTCTTTAAAAGACACACTTTATCTGAATTAGTTTCATCGCGAAAACCTTCGGGAATTTCCATGTAGATTTCTTCATCTAAATTTCCATTTACATAGGCCATTACAAAATCTAATTGGTAACCTTTGAGATTGTGTTCTACTGCGTAGGCTAAAACTGTTCTTATGGAACTTAATCTAGCAACAGGGGAAAAGTTTTCAGTGAAATCGAGACCAGGGATTTGAGCGCACCCTTTAGCAACTAGCCTAGCTTTGTATTTTTCGATAGTGCCGTCGTGATGATTATATTTTAATTTAAGAACCCATTTACTACCAATAACTTTCTTGTTTTCAGGTCTTTTTACTAATTCCCAAGCCTTTTCTTGAACAAGCGAGTTATATTCTAACAGCATGGCATTATGCCAATTTTCAGCATATGGTCCATTTAATGCTTCTTGCACCGTAGGATTAATGCTTTCCTCAACAACATTTTGAGTTTGTTCATTTTTATTTACAACTGTATAGTGATATTCCTTTTTAGGCCTTCCTGGCAAACCTGTTTTTATTTTCTTGGGTCGACCAGGCCCCCTTTTAATCAGGATAGGAAGCATTGATTCGCTATCTAAATCACTTCCGCTTTCCTTTTCAGCTTCAGAGTCAAGTGGCGACTCGCTACCGTCCAGAGGTGATGATTCATTCACAACATGTTTTATTTATAATTTTTTCCTCCGGAGCGAAAGGCAGATTTATTTCTTGCTCTGAGTCATAACTACAGCAGTTTTCAAACTCATTAATAAATTTTACGTCTCTGCTTATTATCACTTTACATGCCTCGGGATCCCAAAGTCTATACGCTTTTGATTCATCAGAATAGCCAATAAAAATACATTCTTTAGATCGAATATCAAATTTGCCTATTCCTGGCCTTTTATTTAGCGAAAATGCTTTTTGGCCAAAGGTTCTGAAGTGAGAGACAGCAGGTACTCTGCCAAACATCACTTCGTAAGGTGTTTTTATTTCGTGTTTTAAACCTCGCGTTGGGCAGCGATTTCGAATGTAAGCAGCGTATTGACGGCTTCGGCCCAGAATTTCTGAGGCAGATTGGATTGCAATAACAACATCGCGCCATTGAAACTAAAGTGCGATTTAATCTTTCGGCGACGCCATTCTGGGCTGGCGTGTAAGGAGTGCTCATTTCGTGTTTTATTCCCGCATCATTAAGAAATTTATTAAAGTCTTTCCCTAAATATTCTAGCCCGTTATCGGTTCGCAGGATTCTGATTTTAGAGTTAAGTTTATTTTCAAAAGATGCTTTAAAATTTCTGAAAGCTTCTTTAACCTCATCCTTAGATTTCAGAAAATAAACACGAACATATCGAGATTTATCATCAATAAATGTTGCGAAATAAAATGATCCACCGATTGATTCAGTTCTCATGGGACCACACAAATCAGAATGAATTAGATTCAACAATTCAGTACTTCTATATTCAGATTCTTTGGGAAGAGGGGGTTGCGGTTTGTTTACCCTGAATGCATACCTTACAAGTAGAAAGAGAGTCATTTTGAGAAAAAGAAAGACCTCTAACCATGTTATTTATTTGAAGTTTTTTAAGATCATTTTCATTTAAATGGCCAAATCTTATATGCCACTGATCTATTTCTTTAGCAATTGATACAGATTCAAATATTGGCATGACAAAATAAAGATCATTTTCGCGTTTAGCTAAAATTACTATTTCGTTATTAGAATTAATTATTTGAGCACATTTTTCTTTGAAAATTACTGAAAGATTATTTTCAGTTACTTTAGACACTGAGATTAAATTATTTTTCAAATCAGGTACACACAATACATTTTTGAGTTTGATATTTTCAGTTTTAGAAACCTATGCGAACTTTAAATTTACAGTTCCTTTTCCAATAGCTTTAACAGTTTTATCAGCAGCTAATTTAACATAAGTATCACCTACCTCGTGAATTTTCTTGAAACAGTTCCTTGCTGTTACACATATGCGATGTTGCAAAACCACTATCCAGACAAAAAATGTCTTAGAATTACTATTAGTGCATGCTACGGCTTTTTCTTGCTCCAAGGAATTCTGATATTCTGCAGACATCGCAGTTTCACTAAGGCGTTTGCTTTTAGTTTCTTTATTTTTCTTCATACATTCCGATGCTCTATGCCCATAGATATGGCAGAAGTTGCATCTGTAGTTAACTGGATACTGTCTTCGGTTTGCAGACTTATCTGGTTTCGGTTTAGGAATCCGGTCGTTGAGTATACTTCCGATCTTTCGAATAGAACGCATGTGTTGGTTCAGAAAACGTTGAATCTTTATTTTTGTGAGCGTTAGCTTCTTCCAACAGTTTAATTTTCAGCATTTCTGGAGAAGGCAGTTCATCACGAGATTCACTAGCTATTCGAAAGCTTTCATAAGAGTCCGGTATGCTATATAAAAGCAATATTGTAAGCAAATCATCCGCAATGTTTATTTCCATTTCTTTCAGTTTGTCCACAAGAATAAAAAAATCATTTAGATGATCATTCATTTTGTTTAGGATCCACTCATTTTTGTAAAAATCAATTTTTTTTAGAATTGTTGCCTTTTTAGCTGGTCCCTTTGATTCGTAAATAGAATGCAATTTACTCCACAGTTCGTGAGATGTTACACAACTCTTTACTTGTGGACGTTCACTGGGTAAGATGAATAGGATTATATCCGCTCGTGCTTTTTGTTTAGTAGTTTTCCATTTAGCAATATCTTCATCACCAGGTTCTTGTTTCGGAATTTTCCCAATTACGTAGTCCCAATGATCATTTTTAATCAGTATTGCTTCCATTTGCAACTTTCACGTATCAAAGTTGTCCTTGTTTAGCTTTTCAATTGACACTGTATTAGTCGTCGCCATTGTCATTTCAGTCGACGCAGCTTGGCTTGCCGAAAGAATTTAACAATGGTAGTTGCACTGCACAGTTAAGCGCTATCTGGGCCCATAACCTATGAAGAATAAAATGATGTCTTCTATATACATGGCAAACATTTATTTGAACTACGAAGACGTTGAACAGCAGAGTAGAAACATGATATTACACAGCGCTTTGCGCTTCTCTCTTACATGCAATACTCAACATTGACTTTGGCTAACTGCGTATTTAACTAAGTATAAGTATTACGCAGCAGAGAACTTGCTTATCATGCGCATGCGCTAGGGAAATCGACGGCGGTTGCCAACAAGGTGCTCACAAACTTTAGCAAAATAATCCGTTTTCATTTTCACAGATATGCTCTTAGCCATAGATATAACAAAATTTGTCATAAATGATGTTTTTAAAAGGAGTAATAGAAATGGATGTTGTATTTAATAAGAAATAAAAATAAGATCCTATAAAAAGATAATAGTATCTCATTAATTCTTTTAGAATTGATCGATTTATTAGCATGTCTACACTTTATGTCGCCCGCCATTTCCGGGCTCATAGTACTCTATTTTCAATTAGAATAATTTTTTTTACGTCGATTTGCTGTCTCTAACAGCAGCTATTTTGTCTTCTTGTTGCATTATATTCCTTACTTGTCTACACGATTTGAGAATATAGCCGTTTGTTTTTGAAGAACTCGTAATATATTGTGAATTTAAATATTTGTCAAAAAATAATAAAACAAACATAGATTTAAAAAATGAAAAAATGGCTTGTATTGACTAAAGTAATGATTCACAGGCGATGGATCCAGGAAATCTACTAGAACTAAGAATATTGAAAAGAAAAATTGTTTATGAAAAATATAACGAAAGTTATTTATCATTCGTGTTTACTTGAAATGGAGATGAATGGACCTTCAACCTCAATGTGTTGTTTTCAGTGAGTCATCCAGTCAAAGTAAGAAACGATCGCTTCTTAAGAGATATCTTGAATCTAAGCATGCCAGTTTAAAGGATAAATCTGAAGAATATTTTAAGAGGAAATTATAGGAGTTCAAAAATAGTAAACAACTAATGAAGGGTTTCGTTACTTAAAGTGAAAAAGCATTGGAAGCTAGTTACCAAGTAAGCCTAAGAATTGCCAAGACTGTATAGGCTCACACTATTGGAGAAAACCTTATATGATCAGCAGCTAAAGATATCGCTTTAAGAATATACGACGAAAAAGCGGCTCATGAACTTAATAAAATTCCGTTATCAAATAATACATAAGTCGACGAATTCATGAAATGGCAAATTCCATAAAAGATACACTCATGCAAAAAATAAAATACAGTGAGTATTTTGCATTGCAGTTGGATGAAAGTACTGATATAATGAACTTTGTTCAATTATTTGTTTATATACGTTTCGAAGAAGATAAATGAATTGTCGAAGATTATTTATTTTGTGAATCACTTCATGACAGAACAACTGCAAACAAAACTTTCAAATTGACGATTTTATGTCTGAGAATGATATTATTTGAAATAATTGCATTGCCAACATTCCGGTGCTAGTTAAAAAATAAAGAAAGTCGCTCCTGAAACTAAATTTACTCTCTGCTCTATTCATCGTGAAGCTTTAATAGCCAAAACAATCCCCGAAAACCTGAAAATCGTTTTGAATCAAGCTGTGAAAATTGTTAATTTTATTGAAGGCCGAGCATTAAATTCAAGAATATTTACGATTTTATGCCAAGAGATAGGCAGTGAACATGAAACGCTTTTGTTAGGTTTCGAAGTAAGGTGGTTATCCAGAGGCAAAGTTTTAAAGTGTCTTTTTGAACCTCGATCATAAATTCAAATTTTCCTCTGCGATTCAAAATTACAATCGCAAAAATTTTTATTTAGTGAATTATGGTTGACGCGTTTAGCATATTTAGCTGATATCTTTGGAAAGGTAAATGAATTAAATTTAGGATTACAAAGACAAAGTATTAATTCGTTTAACATTAGAGATAAAAATAAATGCAATGATAAAAAAACCGAACTAATAATCAAACAATTGGATAATAATATTTTAAACTTTTTATCACTTTCAGAGAGTTTTCTAACCGAAAATAGTTTGAAAATATAAGAAAAATTAGCATCTGACATTAAAAATCATAGTTTTTCATTGATAAATAATTTCACCGTGTATTTTTCCGAGGATTATGAAAAATTCTGATTATGAAAGTTCCAATTTGTTCAAAGGTACTTGAAATTTTATCTCGTGAAGAAAAAGGACAATTGATTGAAATTTGCTGTGATCGAATTTTAACCGAAGATTTCAGAAGTAACAAACACTTTTGCTAACTTTTGGCTGAGCCGAAAATGAATTTAAACAAATTTATTTCAAGTAAAGCTATTAATTTTTTTTTTTTTTTTTTTTTTTTTTTTTTTTTTTTTTTTTCTCTTTTTGACAACCTATTTGTGTGAACGATATTTTATTCCATGTTATATTTTAAAAATAAATACAGAACAAAATTAAAAGTAGATCCTAATTTACGGTTAAAACTAAATGAAATAAGAACAGACATAAAGAAATTTGTCTTCTTAAACAGACCCAAATTTTGCACTGAATTTTAGAATTAAAGTATTATAACTTAAATTTTGATAATTAGAATGGTAACCAATTCTTAATCTAATATTTTTATGCGTGCATATTTAATACAAATAGCCAGTAGGTTATTATTACAAATATATATATATATATATATTTGTAATAATAAAATTCCATAGTCACAGAATACACTTAAAATTCTAACTGTATGTTCTTTTCATTTTTAATGGCGACGTTCTCTTATTTGAAAGTACGTGGAATTAAATCCACAGCCCCGTAGTCAAGTTGTTTTTCCCGCTTTTTCTACACGTACAATTTTAGAATGTTCTGGAGATATTTAAAGCTAACTGGATTGGCTGACGTCATTTCTTTGAAGCTCCGCCTTTCCAGAGGCTATAAAAAGACTCGCAAAAGGAATATCGGGGCTTTTTCTTAAATGTCACGATGCAGTAAACTTCATACAAAAAGTTATTAGTAATTCTTTTTATTTACTCCGGATATCTGATTTTTGTAACTGCTATTTCTCCTGAATAATAATAAATGGATCCTGTTTTTTAAACTTATCGTCTGATTATTTAAGCTAAGACTAAAGCTGATACATCACATATATATATATATTAATGTTTCTATTGAGAAATTAAAAAACAAGCGTTGTAAAATATAGTTGTGGTACTAATGTTTTTCAAAATTAAGCACAAAAGAAACGAAAAGGAAAAACTGATAAAAACTTGCCAAAATAACTAAAGAAAATGTGCCAGCTCTCTTTTGACAATACCATTCCGTCTTCTTCGTCTTCAAACAAGATAAGGAAAGAAACTGTTTAAATTTCCTAAGACGGATTTCTTGTATTCCCTTGTTTGCCGTAAAGAAAGAAGTATTAATTTCCAGCGATAAGAAAATATTTTAATTCTTTCTTCTCTCATGAAAAAATATCCAAACATTTCGTTATTTGGTTTGTACCTACAAAAAATGGTTAAAAAAGTATGCTAAAGTTATTTGCTAACGTAACATTAATTGAATGTATAAAAGAAATAACTACTTAGTTAAATATTAAGGTTATACTATATAGATATAATTAACAGTGTTCTGCTAAGAGTAACTGTTCTCAAAATGTGAGACAGAAGTGAACAGTAGGTTTCAAATGATCTTTGGTTCACAAAGATAATTATGAGAGGTTGTTTGAATGTATCATTAAAAAATAAAAGTTTTGAATAAGACTAAGCATAATATAATTTTTTTTCTCTTCAGATAATTCCTTACTTAATGTTTGACCTTAAATTTTATATATGAAATATACACAGCACATTTTTTTAAATAATATCTTGCTTTAATCTTGAAAACTAATTTTCATACAGAAAAAGAAGGTTAGTTTGTTTATCATTTAAAATATATTGTGCTTTTCGTGTAGGATTAATACCAAAGAAAAGTCAAAACTGTTGAAATTCAAATTTGCTTGAGTTTCTTACTTTTATGGATACTTACTGATTAAAAAAATTATAAAATGTATTATAAGATTTTATTATTTCCTTAATTTTGTCTTTATATGTTTCAGCTTGAAAGCAACAACATTGTAAAATACAACACAGATGGTAAGTATAAAAATTCGTCTTTCATGCATGCAGTGGGATTGATGTACAAACAAACTAAAAGGAGCAGCAGAGAAATATTTCTATTAAAAACTTTGAAGTAGTCTTATTATAAATAGTATTAAAAACGTGCTGCCCAAACCAAACGACAGTTCCATGTCTAACGTAGGAGTGCTTCAAAAGTCGCGATTTATGTACACTACCGATTATTCTCATAAAGATATAGAAATAAGTTCATCCTTGTAGCCATTGAGTCTATCGTAATACAAACGTGCGTAAATTCGATACTTAATGTTGTTGTTGTCGATACTTAATGTCGATTTATGTACACTACCGATTATTCTCATAAAGATATAGAAATAAGTTCATCCTTGTAGCCATTGAGTCTATCGTAATACAAACGTGAGTAAATTCGATACTTAATGTTGTTGTTGTCTTGCTCATAAATTTCATGGAAGAATGGTCGCCAGAGCCTCAAGGCGGTTGGACCCCTACCACCAAACCCCACGGTAGGACTTTCGGCTCGCCATATATTTAGATTTCCCCCATGCCGCAAAAGCACTATACATTTACAAACATGCATGCCTTCTCTGGGATTCGAATCCGGGCACTTCGGTACTGCAGTAGGCTTCCCTAACCACTATAACGTTTGAGCGGCATTCGGTACTTAAGGTGGAGGTTTTATTAAGCGTAGATTTTAAAGATATAATTTCATATTAAATGAAGACGGTTTGTTTTGAAATTGTTGAAAACAAACGCTGTGTATTAGTTTAGATATCACTGTTGAAACAAAAATTAGTAAATGAAATAATGGTTTAAAAGTGAGACTAAGGCTAACCGTTGCAATTAATAAAAGTCTGTACGCCACCCAAGTTAAGCTTTTTCAGGCTGTAAAGCTGGTATCACACGTACGGACACGAAACACCACGCAAAACTTTTCCTGCAATTACATTGCCTCAGAATTGATTTAAATAGCAGGTTTCTAGTGCAATTTCGATGCTCGAGAAAGATGCCTTCGACACTGTGATTCGAGTAAGTCAACCATTTAGAAGAATGGAAGCACCACAGGTCATAACTACGCATAATTCCAAGAAGCAAGAAGTCAACGAAAAGTTACCTTTGACGAGGTGCTGAGGGAAATTGTGCCCCCGGTCTAATAGCAGCTTTAACTATACGGAGTTTTGATGTCCACTGGTTGGCTGGTAGCTTGTTATACGACGTGTCTGTGCTGTCGTAAGGTTGTTGGAGGTTGCGAATAATAATATTATTGATACATGGACAGCATTTAGTATATAGTACCCAGTGCAGGGCACCTTGAAAACAGATTCAAGTAGGGAATTGAACTTAAGCTTATTTTCTCGCATCACTTTCGAAAGCTAAAATGAAAATATTATACAACAAAGTTAGCAACAGCCTGGCCTTGGCTGTGTATACAAGTATTGGATTTTAAAATACTTATAAGAACAATAACTAATTACTTTCTAAGAGAGGCTACAAAACCGAGTATTGACAACTAACAGCTATTCAAAGAATCTTAAGTGATAGGTTGGATAAGCAGGCAGCCAACATTAATCCGACTGTCATACCACCACCCCAGTTGCCAGCTATTCCTGTGGCTTTATACTAAACTACTTGCCACTCAGATCTGCATTATCTCTGTAATGAAACAGTCGTGATAAATTGAGACAATAGGAAAGGGGCAATTTTTTTTCATATATCAAAAAGTATTTTTATGGGCAATAGTTTTTTTAATTTATAATTTTGTGTCTCGTTGTTTGTTAAGGTATCTCTGTATGAGATGTTCTGAAAGAAGCATAGCTAAATGTCTAAAGCGTTAACAAATATTTTTAGGCCAAGCTAATGCAGTTTCTTTTAACTTAAGGTGAGTATTAGGTTTCGATCTGTTTTGTTATTTTCTCATCGTATTTTATGTAAAGATGAATTTATTCTTGCTGCCTTTTATACGAAATTGTTAAATTATTTTATTAGTCATATTCGCATTTAATTGAAAACTGAACCTCATTGCTAAATAAACTCACAGCGTCAAGTTTTTCCGCTTGTGTGTGTAACGGCATTCGTAATTTAATAACGGTAAAATGTTAAAATGTTTGGAATGAGACTTAAAACTTTAATGATGTGATTAGCATAAAATATTTAGTTGGATGTTTTCAAATTATGCTTAGCAGAGATTTATTGATATCAATAGATTTGTTTACATAACTGGAGTTCGGATATATCGTAATAACTGCTGCAAGTATTGGATTAAACAAACTAATAAACAGATTATGAGATAATTTGGTTTATCAGCAGAACTGACATTACCTTTGTTTTAACTTTATGAAGCATAAATTATGAGAGACATAGACTACGAAAACTGCTCAAAACATTGTGACATTCGGAAAGTTCTGCCGTGTTTAAATGATAAACACAAATGAAGCTGTACAAAAACATAAAAAAATTCATGGAATCACATAAGCACCATTTGATTCTACGACTTTTTTCGATCTGTCCAGCAAGTGGAAAATTTCATTTTTAAAAAAGTTATTAGATGTATTCCTAAAACGATACCGAGTGCTGTTTGCCAGTCTTCAAAGAAATGAACTCCAGGGCATTCAGAAAATTTTGAAATGAATTGAAGAGATTAAAACTTGTCATGATGGAATTCAAGCATTGACATGATGGAAGACAACACCTCGACAACTGGGCAGTTCTGGACATTTTGCATCAATTTCTGCTTTTTAAACTGCCACAATAATTCATAGTATACAATTCCTTTGTACCCTGATCATACAAAAGCTCCCTCTCGAAGTTACTAAAATAGGTTCATTTGGCTCACCACGCGATGTTTCTCTTGTAACATTACTGAATAGTATTCACTTCTCATCTTGAGTAACGATCCATTTGAATAAAAAGGCCTTTTTCATTCTTCTCCAACAAATATTTATGTACGGAAACTCGAGCAAACATATTCTGCTGTTTTAAAATGTGAGGTACCTTATATACATAGAAGCAGCTTACATATCAGATCATCTTCAAATGGTGTCATGTACTATGAAATATATTTATTAAGTATTTAATCTGTCTGATATTTCTTGAACTATATCAGATGAATTTTCAGTCATAGCCTCCTTTAATAGTCCCTTGTCTACACAGGATGGTCGTCCAGAGCGGGCATCATTTTCAAGACTGAAATTTCCAAACTTAAACTTCTCAAACCACCTTTGAGCACAGCTCTTTGTTCATATATAGCACAAACTTTTTAAATTTATTATTTAAATAAGTATTAAAATAATAGAGCATGATATGACGAAAGTGAATTTCTGGGTTCCTCATTCATGGCATTTCACTGAAATGAAAATTGTGCTGCAATAAATCCTAGAAAATTACACAATGTGAGCAGAAAAGACCGTATTTAAGCATTTGTTTCAATCAAAATCATTCCTTATCAGCAGTAATATAATAACTGGAAGAAAACTCTCTTCGATTTGAATAACCGCATAACTTTCTTGATGACCCAATATTTACTATTACAAAACTTATATAAAGTACCTGATTCCCACTGGCATTGAGAAGAGCAATATTTAAGTTAAGTAACAGTACTAAAAATATTTTCTTCAACTTTGTGAAAAATGTTTCTGGTGCCTGTCTTTTTTTTTAATTTGAAATTGCTAAAATACTTCCATTAGATGAGGTGACAGCGAAGTAAAATGTTGCTATTTCCAGTAAGCTTTTAGCTAAACGTAACAATTATATTTTTGGGGAAAGCGTTTATTTTCCGTTAAAACAAAATATAAAAAGTTTTATTATAGGATTAATAACACTTAAAATAATAGTTTAAAGCTGACAGTTCATTTAAATAAATTTTTTTATAAAATTGATAATTATTATTTTCGAAAATGATAATATTTGGCTCTAGCGACGAAAGATGCATTTCTCAGTTTTTAAAAATAAATATGTTTCTTAAGAATTTAAAACTAACTTACTAATTTTTAAGACTTATTCACATCGAAATTATTCACCGAACATAAATTATAGTTTCAGCTATTCGTTCTAGATTAACATGAAAAGCATTGTACATACATGGTGATCAGCGAATAAGCCCTGATTTCAAAATTCTAATACACCATTTTTAAATACACCATTTTTACAGTTTAAATACACCATTTTTACAGTTTTGCTAATAAACGTACAGTTTACCGCATAATTCTATCGATCTTTGTTGTAGAGATATTTCATTTTGAAATCAGGGCTTATTCGCTGATCACCGTGTAGTTGCAGTATGATACTAATCATTATCACTTTCTAATTTAATGAGAAAAAAATTTTAATTATATAAAATAATCTAATAATATTGTTTAGAAGGTAAAACTAATCGTATTTCAGCGTTAATACTAAATTTCAAGAGCCATTTTCTCAGAATATAATTTTTATGCTAGACTTTTAAACTTTCCTACGTGAGTCTTTATTATTGTACTTATGGTAGTAAAAATGTAAAGAGAAATCAGATTTGATTTCTCTGGCAACCTTAAGGTTTGAAACATTGAAATCCATAAAAAGTGTATTTAGCTCATAACAGCAAAATCCCCTGATGAATAAGTAAAAAAAAAAAACTTTTCGCTTTTGGAGGAATAGCTCAGCAAGTCTAATCACGCTCCTTCCAAAAAGAAATTGGAACTTTTTCTATCTTTATCCGCTTGCACCAGTCCATGAAAGATTTTGAAATTTCCGCAGTTCATGTGAGTTATTCAATCCCTCACCCACTCTGTTGAGGAAAAAATTACTGAAACCACGTAATTTATTGCTGCTTTTTACTTGAAAGGTGGCCCCTCGCGCTATCAACATGTGTGACCATGGTATTTACTTTGCTAAATCCTCTTATCGTATCCCTTTCTACCAAATGTAGCTTACGTGACTCCAAGCTTGTATCCCTAGCTTATCTCCATATCATCCTAGTGCCCTCACTCTCACGAAAGTTTCTGCACAACATTTACTTTACTTCAAAA